GATCTCAGCCGCCTAGGTACTTTGGATTAGAACTTCTGGACATTTTCTGTCGATTGGTGTGCCGAACAGCTCCGTAGCTTATCTACAGCTCGAGTTAAAGTAAGAAAACCCCAAAACATCTGTCAATATGACACTCAATACCCATTCCGCCTGAGTGCTTTTTTCATCGTAGTATCCACCCGATCAAAAGATGGCGAGCGGTAGTAAGATCCACTAGCACGGGACAAATATTTGAGCGGTAGCGAATGGTTGATTTTCGAGAACCTGATTGTGAACCGGCCAAAAAGGCAAAATTTCCGTCGACATTTTTTCGAGCCAAATAGCCTGCCATCGTTTCCGAATCACTCTTCAGCTTCGCCGCTTCGCCCTTAGGGAATGTTTACGGGTTTTCTAAGTCGAGCTGAAGGCAAGCCACGGAGCTAGGAATGGAAAAGGTCGAGCGCTTGTTTGGGGTATCGAGAGGTCTGATATCGGTTTCCTATCAGAGCTGCGACCGAACAATTTTTGTATTCCTGCAAACAGCTCCCAAGCTGTGCCGCGCTCACATGCCACGCATATATATATATATATATGTTTATATATGTATTTATATTTATATGGCAAGGAATCTCTACGAGGCCCCCGCGGTAGCCGAGGTTGGCGGTTTACCGCCGTCTCTCAGTATTTAAAATCGGGTTTGGAAATTGTTTTGGTTGCAGTTGCTTCAACATTGCAAAATTTTAAAGTTTGCTGTGCAAGTCTAAACGGAAAGCCGAGCTCCACGTTGACTTTGGCTTTCAAGCTTGGTTCCGGCGCGGGTGCCTTCATGCCAGCCTTGAGACGCGGAGGAACGCTCCCACTGGTGGCGCTTCCCAGTGTCCTGGCGCCTGGCTGGCCACTGTAAAGAGTGCCTCCTGATGCTGTGCGATCGCATGCGGCGCATTTGTATGAAACCGCACGCCCTCGCGCGCGCTGAATGCCAGATTGCCGCGATGGCATGCCATATGTAAGTATGGTAAGGGAGTCCCCAGCAGCTTCGAACTTGATCATTGCTTAAAACATGTTTTTTTTTATAGTCTTCTTTAGGTTATCTTGCGTTCGGCGTGCGATGTTATCTTTCAAAGAGATAATCCAGCTTTAACATGCCATGGACTCGAGTTTTGCAGTTTGATTTCCAGAATTCGATGATTCGGTTTTGAACGTCAGATTTTCTTGCTGAACATTGGATGACGCTGCATGCACTGGTGAAGGTGTGAAAGCTGTAATTGCAATATGTCGATCGATTCACTTCCAGGGGAATAATCATTTGTTCTTAGAAACATGTAGTAAAGAAGTTGCAGTTGTCACGAAATTCTAAGATTTGCCGATTCGTGTGGCTTGCGTAGTTTTTGTAAAGTTCGCTTGGACAATATGAGGTCTCTAGCTGCTGTGCTAATGAGACAAATTGCGCAACTTTCTATCAGAACATAAAACATCTGCACTTTACTTCTCAAGCTGATGTTCCAGGGAGCTTGCTGTCGGCATTCGTTTTCTGTTTGTACGAAGCTAGTACCGGCACCCAGTTAAACCCAGCCGGGGCGGACAATGTGATGACTTGGGGTCGGTTTTGAAGACTGTGTGAGATTTGAGAAACAATATTTTTCGCAGCTGTAGTAGGTTATGCCGCGCCTGCCAGGAGCGACGCGCGCGCCGATGACTCTTGAAGTGTATGCTTCATGGTGGGAGATGTCTGGTCATGGAGATGAAGACGTAATGCATTACAGTATGACTGAAACATACATACATACATACGTTCACACATATATATATATATATATATCTATTTATGTGTATATATATGTAGACATCACTAGTCCATACATGGCATGCAATGTTATATGGTATAAACATGTACACTATACATATACATGTACATACACATACATATACATATGCATATGCATCTACACATTCATATACTCACACATCCGCAATTTTTACGTATACGTGTACGTACTTTTACACATCAACATAATCATATACACATGCATATGCATACACATTCACATCTACATATATATCTACATATGCATATACATGTACACATACATTCGTATAGACGTATTCATACATATAAATATGTATATATACATATATAATCACACGTACGTACATGTACACATCTATTCACATACACATACACATGTATTGATACACGTGTATGTATATGCATAGAATTTCATATGCTCATGCGTATACGCATGCACATACTTTCACTTCGCACAAACAATCACATTTATATATGTATATACATACGTTAGTACATACACATATACACAGACACAATTATTTCCGTCTACACTTTCGCAAACATTAACACACATTTACAGCTACCAATCACTATACATTGCCATGTACATTTAGATATACATGTACATATACATGTACATATTCTCACATCCCTATACATATTTGTATCGACATATACACATACACATGCATGTACACATACATATACGTGAACATACACATGTACTTGTACATGTACGCGTGAATATGATCATTTGCGTACGCACATATATAATTATACATTCATATATACACATATGTCTGTACATTTATTCTTATACACGTATATGTATAGTCGGATGGGACGAACGCCTCAGAGGAGGACGCACAGTACCAGCACGTCCTTGTGCATCCCATTGCTCCGGCACGTGCGGTCGAGGGCGAGCGCCTGTGGTCCAGACCCAGTCGACATCGGGCGATCTGCGACATTGGAACGCCGCGGCTGTTCAGTGTTGGATGGTCCTTGCAGGGGCCATTTCTTGATCCGATCGATTCGACTCGATGCCGATTCGGATGTTTGCTCGAGCCGATTCGGTCCGACGCTTGCACGGCGCTTGTGCGTGCTTGCGCGGCCGATCCGGTTCGACTCCTGGCTGCGTGCCCGTGCGGCCTGATCCGATTTGCAGCAGCCCGTCTCGATCCGATTTCCCGATTCGATGCTGGCTCATCCAGGAGGGACAAGTCGTCGCAGACATACGTAAACGCTGATTTTCATGAGCGACTGTGACGGGTGCGAAGTGGACAGCAAGATGCGAATCCACGAAATATGGAAACAGGGGGGGACTCTGGGATATGTGATCGTTTCTTATTCGTTGTTTTACCGATCGGCGTGGGGCCTCGCACCCCCCCTTCCCCCCCCATGGAGTAGATCTTGTCTGTTATTGGCGCCTGTTTCGAGCAGGT